CTAACAGCAGACTTTCCCATGGCAATGCGCCTTTTAATTTCCTGGCTACTGGTGCCAAGAGTGTTGACTGTGGAGCCAAGCAAACTAAAGCTGTGTATAATCTCAATCTCTTCACCAGGGAAGGTAACTGATTATAATTCAGTTTGGTCACAGGATACAAACTCTCAGCCAAAATAGCTTCTGAAGCATGCTCTCAGACCCTTCAGCCTCATGGCTTCAGGCCAGTGTTAAGAACCTCTCTTAGTCCAGCCAATTGTGCCATCTCCCAGCTAGTTCTCCAGCAAACTTGGGTAAAGGCACGTGGCTCGGGGTCTGTAGTGTAGCAACCCCAAGGTCAATTCTGCCTCACACTGGGTCTCTGGCTCTCTGCTCTGACACCTGCTTTTGCTCCTGTAGACCCCATTCTCAGTGGCATGGGAATCTTCAGTCCAGAAGGATATGTGCCACTTTCTCTGCTGCTTCTTTGCTGGTGGTGAAAGATCCCAAATTCTGCCACTGAACCTGCTCTATTTAATGGTGAGATTAGCCAATCCCCTCGTGGGTAGACTAAAACCCTGTTTGTATGATTCTTCCCATTTGTGTGGCAAAGTTAATGACTAGGAAAGCAATTTTGGACAAGAAACTCTTGACACCACAGTGACTCTGTGGGGCAGGGTAGAATTACCCCACAGGACTTCTAAGGCTGTAATCTTTATGGGTGCTTATTGCCTCTTCTTTCTCTCACTGAGCTGCTGGGTGAGTTCGAACCACCTCGTGTGTGGTTGGCAGCCAAATGCGTAACCATTATGCTACCACGACACCTGCCTTGAAGAAAGGCATTTCTATTAATCAGTGCTGTGTCGGAACGAATGGGCTTTCTTGGGTAGATACTAGAACCTCTCATTTGAGGGTTCATAAAAACATTATATTACTAACATGAGATATTGAAGATGTTTCTACAACAAAACAATGATTGACTATGGGAATCTACAGGTATATTTGGAAGTCATTAGTCTGTGAATAAGGAACCCTGATGACATAAAAGTTAACCACTTGACTTCTAACAAAAAGGTTCACAGTTCAAATCCACCCAGAAGCTCTTTGGGAGAAAGATCTAGAAAACTGTTCTCAGAACATTATAGCCTTGAAAACCCCTATTGGTCAGTTCTCCCCGACACATAGAGGTCATTGAGTCAAACTTGACTCAAAAGTAACCCAAAATAACAACAGTGAACAAGTGATGTAGTTTAGGAGACAGGCAATCTAAATTGACCCATGTTCCTTTTTCTCTCTTTCAGAATTAATTTCCTACTTACATCCTCCACTTCAAGGTAGGAAGATATCTCTTTATGTGCTGTTGGATTACACACTAACCTACCTATGTTAAGCAATATTACACGACTGCCTGAAGTTTCCTGACATTTTATCGTTTCTTTTCAGACCTTTCTTGTTTATGATTACATTTTCAAGTTGTGCACACGTCCTCACCCCCCTTCTCCAGATTGCGCCATCACCACTGACTTAAACTCACTGATCTCACATTCCCAATGAAACTTGCGATTTGCCGCTGTTAATCTGATGTCACACAGACAATTCCTTTTTTTAATTTTATTTTATTAATTTTAATGAACATTTACAGAGATTTTGGATTTCCATTCATTGTTGCATTCTTTTCTTTACCTCCCCAACCCCAGTTAGTTCCTCTCCTTTTTTTTTTTCTTGAAAGTCTGTTTTAATTGTCCAATTGCCACAGTGCTTGTCAAAACCAGTTCTGATTAATCTCCTTGGCCAGTGTGTCCTTTGCTATTCCCTATCACTCCTCCCTAAGAGAGACTTCACCCTGATTCATAAGGAAAAGGGGACGGCATATTCTCTTAGCTACTTCCTGCTGAAAAGGGATGCTGTAGGTTTCAGGGTGAAGATCTTCTCTCACTACTCTAAAGGGCCATTTTGGCAATAGGAAACACGTAGACTATTGTGGACACTGATTTCGGAATTTAGATGCACTGTGACAATTCTTTTTTGAAAAATAAAATTTTTATTTTAATGAAAGCTTCCAGAGAAGTTGGATTTTCACTCATTCATTGTTTACACATTGTACCCCTCTTCCTCCCTTCCCCTCGAGTTCACTTTTTTTTAATATTAATTCATTGTTGCATAATTACCTACCTCCCCCATTCTGTCCCCTCAGTCCTCTTTGCAAGGATGTATCTCTTACTCTGAGCTGCTGTCATATGTTTACATGTATGTTGTTCTTGTTGTTGTTATGTGCCATCGAGTCGCTTGTGACTTATAGCGACCCTATGCACAACAGCCCTAAACTCTGCTCTGTCCTGTGCCAATCGCATTGTCTCTGACACTCCATCCCGATTATCCCAGTCACTGAATCAATCCGCCTTATTTTACATGTATAATGTCTAATAATATATTCATTTTAAACAGTGTTTTCCTTCTGGTCTGACACCTTCTATTGCTCCTCTCGACCCCAGTCTCAGTGGCACAGGAATCTTTGGTGATTATCTATCTCCTCTTATCCCCTTCTCCTCACAATCCCCCATGTCAGACCTGCTTTATAACAGTAGTGCTGTATACAGACAATCCTTTAAGCAGGCACAATGCTCAAGACAGGTGTTGTTGTCGTTGTGTACCATTGAGTCAGAACTAACCCATACCTGACCCTCGATGGGTTTTCAGAGACAGTAAATCACTTGAGAAAAGATTGTCCATCCTCCTCCTGCAGAGCAGCTGGTGGATTTGAACCGCACGCCTTTGGGACTGCAGTGCAGTTTCTTAACCCCTAGCCCACCAGAGCTCCCTTATCAATATTTCCAGATCCAGTTGCGTTTATTAAAATATCTTCTTCTGCGTTGGTATATTCACACAATGAAATACTATGCTGCATTTAAAAACAAGCAACTCGTGCACTATTATCCAAAATGGTGAGCCTGGAGGACATTATGCTGAGTGAAATATCTCAGTCGCAAAAGGACAAATACTGCATGGTGCCACTGCTGTAAAATGGGACTGCTATCAGGGTTGGGGTAAGACTGAGACAAACTGGATAAATTGTGTATACTGCACTGAAACAGATGAGGGAGAGAATAATTTAAAAGTGATGTATAATAAGGTATTATGGTTATCACAGGAGTCCACAATTAAGGTTGCATAGTGGAATGTACTTGGAGCGGTGGGAGGGGTGTGGGGGATTGTGTACCAGGGAGGGAGTTGTTCTTCTACTTTTCAAAGAGAGGAGCGAACTGGGGGAAGGGGGAGGGCTGGGTGGGGAGAGAAGTGCAGCAATGAATGAATGGAAATCCAAAATCTCTGTAAATGTTCATTAAAATGATTTTTTAAAAAGCATGAAAAAAATTTCTTTTTCTATTGTTAACATGTTAATGGTTGGTTACCCGTGGTGGACAGTGTCAGGTGAAGCTCCCCGATTAAAACAAGCTTGGAAGCAGGAGTGGCATCCACTTCCATAATAGCTTGCCTCCGGAAACCCTATGAATCCAGAGAGAGGATGAGACACACAAGTGTTGAGGACTCTCCTTCATAGGGTCACTATGAGTCGCCTGCAACTTGATGACACTTAACAACAATAACATCAACGTAGAGAGAGACCAGTTAGTCTAGTGGATAGAAAGTGATGCTACCAAGCCAAAGGTGGGTGACTTTTAATCTGCAGCTCTTGGGCCTGTCTTTCATTGCTTTTGTTCAAACATTCTTCTATGTTGTATAGCCCTGGTGTGTCCACTCGCCGTACAGCAGTCACTTGTGGTTGCTATGATGCTGAACACTGTGATGCTGATGTGTCAAATACATTAATGGTTGGTTACCCATGGCAGACAGTGTTGGGTGAAACTCCCCGATTAAAACAAGCTTGGAAGCAGGAGCGGCATCCACTTTCATAAATAGCTTGCCTCTGGAAACCCTATGAACCTGGAGAGAGGATGTAAGTCACACAAGTGTTGAGGACTCTCCTTCATAGGGTTGCTATGAGTCACCTACGACTTGACAGCACTTAGCAACAACAACATTGTCAATAGGGTGGACATTTACAAAGCAAATCAGTCTTCCACATGCATTTTGCTTTTGTGAAGTTAACCGTGATACCTGCGCTGTTTGTTATCACGTTCTTTTTCCCCTCCGTGTTTCCTGTTTCTGCATTTTTCTGTGCTGACTGTGCTTTGAGCAAAAGTGGCAGGCTGCTTTTCCATTCACACGCATTTTGCTGTAGAACACAAAGCAGGATACTCACAGCATAATCACAGGCTCCCCCCTTCCTCTCCGTATCCGCAGTGATGTGTATGGGGAGGACAGAGGAGGAAGGGGTGAACCAGCTGCACACTGACCATGGACATCTGAAAGCCCACTGCTCGAGCCCTGCTTTCAACACGCATTCTTGTCTGCAGGTTTTGTCAACGCTCCCTGCATCTTCCCATTTACCTACGGAGAGGTAGTCCACTACAGCTGCACCTCCATCAACAGTGATTATGCCTGGTGTTCTCTTGACAGCAAATTCAAAGGTAGATGGCGATACTGCACTGGGCGTGGTGAGTATCCAGGTGCACGCTTCCTTAATCACCCAAGACCCATTGATGGCATCACACTCCCTGGTTTTGGGCATCTGGTCGATCTGAGTTCCAAGCTTGAGTTTTCTGCCAAACATCTGAATGGGTCCTTTAGAATGAGTATCACTTCTACTCTACTTGGTAAAGTAAAAGGGTCAGCCTTCATGGTTTAGTCTGTTAATGGTTTAACTCCACCAAGCACTCTCTGGAAGAAAGATAAGGCTGTCTGCTCCTGGTGAGATATATAATCTCAGAAACCCCTAGTGGTCTCAAGTTACAATATGTATTCACCCAAAAGCTGTGTTGTTAGTTGCCCTCAAGTCAGCTCCCTTATGGTAACCTTGTGAATAGCAGAATGAAAGCTGGCCCTGCCTGACATCATCTACAAGTGCAAGTTAATTGTGTGGTGTTGCCCTGCCCTCCCATCTTCAAGTGCAAGTTCATCATGTGGTGTTGCCCTGCCTCCACCTTCAAGTGCAAGTTCATCGTGTGGTATCACACCCCTGCCCTGCGCCATCTTCAAGTTCAAGTTCAGGCTCACTGTGTGGTGTTGCCCTGCACCATCTTCAAGTTCAAGTTCAGACTCATTGTGTGGTGTCGCCCTACACCATTTCAAGTGCAAGTTCAGGCTCATTGTGTGGTGTTTGCCCTGTACCATCTTCAAGTGCAAGTTCAGGCTCATTGTGTGGTGTCACCCTGCACCATTTTCAAGTTCAAGTTCAGTCTCATTGCCCTGCACCATCTTCAAGTGCAAGTTCAATCAGTGTGTGGTGTCCATATCGATCCATCTCATTGAAGGTTCCTCTCATCTTCTAGCTGATGATGTGACTACACTGGACAATAAACTGTTGCCATCCATAAACTTTTCACTGGCCAGTTTTGGGACACGGTTCTCTAGGTCTTTCTTCTAAGTCTGTCAGAGTCAATGTAGAAACTGTGCTGAAGCTACCAGCTGGGGAGGGGGACCCTGCTGGTGTTTGAAACCCCAGTGGCTTAGCTTGCAGCATCAACACAACACAACCCACAAACCAGCGCATAACCACAGACTGACGGGTGAGTGGTGGGGCTATTGTGTGTCAGATTCCCTAACAGAAAGTCAGTGGTTTGGACCCACTCACCCCTGTGTGGGAGAAAGACGGCAGCATTCTCCCACTAAGGTTTACAACCTGAGTTGGAAGGTGTCACAAGTCATAATTGCCTTACAACAAGAGGGTCTGGTTTTGTTTGTTAGTTCCTTTGTTCTTGTTACCAGGTGCTGTCAAGTCAGCGCTGACTCAAAGCAACCCTGTGTGTCGTTAGGTGTCATCGAGTCATGTATGGCTCATAATGACCCTGTGAACAACAGACCTGACCCCTGTCCTAGCCTGTGATGTCCTTGTTATCCCTCACATACTTGAACCCACTGCTGCAGTCACAGCGTCAATCCACCTGGTTGAGGGTCTTCCTGTCCTTCTCTGACCTTCCACCTTTCCAAGCACGATGTCCCTCTCCTGGGAATATCCTATCCTAGTGACACGCCCAAAGTAATGTGAGATGAAGCCTCATCATCTTTGCCTCCAAGGAGCACTCTGGCTGCACCTTCTCCAAGACTACCTGTTTGGGTATTTTTAGCAGCCCATGGGATAAGCAGTACTGTTCTCTAACAGTTCTGCTCAAAGGCATTGAGTCTCCTTTTTTTTTTATGTCTAAGATGTCCATGATTCAGGTCATGGTCTTTCCAGTGACTTGCTATGTGTCTGAGAACTGGACGATGATGAAAGACGGCAGAAGAAGAATCGATGCCTTCGATGAAATCCTACACACAACCCTGTGTGACCCTCACACTCTATGCTGGACTCTAGCCCTTTATGGAAATCACTGGGCCAACCCACCTCATTGAAGCTCTTCCTGTCTTTCACTCAAGCCTCCACTTTTCCAAGCACGGTGCCCTTTTCTGGGGACTGCACCCCTCCCCAGATGACATGCTCAGAGCAAATGGGACAAAGTCTCACAAACCTGGCTTCTAACAAGCACTCTGGCTGCACTTTTCCCCCCAAAACATACTTTTTTGATTCTTTTCAGTAATCAGTGCACCATGTAGTCAATAGCCTTCTGCCAACCCCACGATTCAAAGGCAACAGACTCTCATCATCCTTATTTCTTAATTTTCTGGTTGATTTATGCCAGAAGACATCCTGGGGGCACATGGACACACTCAGCTGATGGTGGCTTAAAAGTTGGCACTTAAAACCACACCCAGCAGATCTCCTAGAGAGGGACTCATTGGCCTGCTAGTCTCTGGCCACAGAGAAACAACAGCCAAGAACATTCTAGGGGGGACACTCTACTTGAGGGATCACTATGAGTCAAAATGGCCTGATGTGTGTCAACCATGGAGGGTTTTTTATCATTATTATTTCTTTTTATTCAATTGCTCATGGACATTTTAAAAATTTTATTTTCTTT